TTCACTGCAAGAAGAGACCATTGTAATGCATGCACCCTCGTCCATACAGACGATTTAAATTTGTATACTTTTCCAATTTTCACAAGTACACTTGTTGAAAAGATAGCATGCAAGCGCAAAGTTGCGTATACAGACGAGCAAATAAAACTTGCCAAATAAAAACTTGTCATAGAAAACTTGCTCGTCTGTATAACCGGCTTAAAGTATACCAGTATACTGTACGGTCACCTAACACTGTCAAATACCTATCATTAATCGAGAACAATCAGCGGAGAGCGACCAAATTTGGCTTAAATTATCCAAATGAAATGTCATATATACAAAAAATAGCAGAATGCGTGGCCAACCAGTGAAATCAATTTATTTTATTTTACCTGGAACGATAACACTCACTTTTTACTGCTTGTAAAAAAGTCGGCATGAAGCCTAGCGTTTCAGTCGTTAATTTCGGTCCCCCACAATTTTTTGAAATATAGATAAAGTAAAATAAATTGATTTCACTGAGACCCGAACCTCTTAGCTAGATCTCCGACCTACTTTTAGTGTTTAAATCTAAAACGAGACTTATTCCCAACGAACCTGACTATATATATCTCGCAAATACAATGACAACAACTTTCTCGTAAAACATAAACAGGGTTATTTAGAAATTTCGATTCTTTATCAGATCAGCAATCTGTGGAACAGCATTCCATCGGACTTGAAAACTTGTGGCCCGCTGTATACTTATTTAAAACCAGCCTTCGTAAATTATACGAATCAAAGTTGCTATTAATTTATACAGCCCTCCTGGCTGTAATTAACCATAATATTAACATATTTAGTATTAATCCATATTATTAGTTATAGATGTAAAGTTGCATTGTGTATTTTAACATACTGTGGTGTTTGTTGCACTCTTTCCTTTGTGACGTTGGTTTCTATATGTGTTACTAGGCTACATAGTTTCCCCGTGTTACGTGTACAATTAGGATTACGGTTAGACTATAGTTATTGATCAAGTAACACACAGTATTTGTTGCATATAAACCCGCATTGCATTGCCACGAACACATCGAAGCCTCGAAGGGAGGGCAAGGAGGTTGGAGTGCAATAAACAGTAAAGTCTATTTAAAAGGTCAGGTGTCAATCGGGACGCAAGGCCTGTTCCTTTCCCTAGTCAGATCTATGTCGTTTTTGCATGTAGTTGTCTGTTTGTGTTATAATTATAGTACTCTATATTGCGACAAATCATTCAAAACAAAAAGAATCTGAATATGACGTGATTAATTTCGCAAGCAGTAGCTGTCCATAAACTATAAAGTCATTCAAGATCGAAATCTATTTTCAAGAGCAGGTTTTTGCATTGTATCGGCATGTAACATGTGTGTTTTAGAACTGGTGTCATATTGACAAAAATAAATGTTAGATATAGATGAAGAAAAGAAACAACAGGTCCTTGAGACAACATCAACAATGCAGTTCATGTAAGACATTATATATGATCATATAAACTAAATGAACCGTCCGGCATGGATTGCCATAGCTATACAAAATTATTTGTGTAGGACGATTTATGTTGTAATGAATAGATTGGAATGCGAATATAATACCCTGGGAAAAAGTGGTTTGGTAAATGCAATACAAAATTGAATACAACAAGTTCAGGTACAATCAAATATTAAACTTGAACGGCGCTGCTAGTGTATAAAATTATATAGGTATATATTTATTATGATTAATATGAAAATGCATGCATTTTAGTGATTTTACCGCGTAATTAACACTTTCTCCGTTGTCGCCCGCAGTTCGACTGTATATATAGCACGCAGTGAAAGATTACAGCTTAGTTTTTCAAAATTAGACCTAAAGTAGAAAACAATTTACAGTCGTTGCATTTATTCATTTATTTGTGGACTTTTTTATTGTTCCGCTTGAACGAGAACTGACAGCAGTTGCGTGAAAGTTATGGATGAGAATTTACTGCCTATCACTGGCATACGGGTGCGGTCAAATGAACAAAGACTCTCACCAAGTCTTATCAAAATCTGAACTAGCTCAAAGTTCATGAGCCGGCGTGCATGAGGTGGCGGGCAAGCGAATCAGGGAACTCTCATTAATTCTCGTCAATCTCTAATCCTTGTTTGACCGCGAGTCAATACATTGCAGGGGTGTGGCCTGTGGGATCTTAAAATTTGAAGCCAGTAAAAGTCCTGAGTAGAAATGCAATAAACTATTCTAGTTGTGATAAAGAATATAGAGGGGCAAGAACGGCGAGAAAAAGATTCTCGAGAAATTTTGATATAATGATAATTTGAAAAATAAGTTTGTTGGCACATGCTGGCCAATTTATCTCGTGACCACACATGATACTTTACTTGTCCCGGGCCAAGAAATGACCCGAGTGACTCGCCTCTGTAGACAGGGACACTCGCCTAGCCGTGACAAATTTTCCTCATGTGAACACACATTTTAGAGCACGTTATAGACTCCACAAAATCTTGTTATTTGTTTTAAAAATATCATTAGAAATCTGCTGATATATGATGGTTCGAATAATATTAAAATGAAAATTGTCAACAAGAAATGCAGTATGCTCCTCAAAAAAATTGATCTGGCCGACCAGAAACAATGATTCGAGCAGATTTTACTACGGCTCATGACAATCAATTATGTTCTATTTCTAAATATCGTAACATATAAAATACAACTGGCGTTGATCAGAATGTTTTTCATTTAGCAATATTTCACCGTTTCACGTTGGCGGGATTGTTTTATATGACTCCCGCAACTGAAATTTATTTATTGGCATGGCCCGCGCTAGTTTTGCTCATGTGAACAGAAGATATCAGTACACGGGTCAACGACTTATCACGGGTCAGGCTGGAATCATGTGGGCAGGCCGGGATCATGTGAACAGGGTCCGATCGATATTTCAACACTATGCCAAGTTCTCTCTTCTCCGCAGAGGTTATTAATTGTAAGTCGGAGATCTTCGGACAGACCTCGGAGTTAATTGATCGGGATCTGTCCGAAGATGTTCGAAGTACAATTAATAACCTCTGCGGCGGTGAGAGTGCCAAGTTTCCTGATAATAATTTTAGTATTAGAACAGAATCGAGACGAGCAAGTTTCCTTGTTGACAGGATATAAACTGCAATGTGGACTGGTATTTACTCTTAAACACGGCCACTCATCATATGCAACATGGAACGTACAGTTGCCACAAAAAATATTTCGAGGACAACGAAATGTGCACTTATATAGCTGCATATAATTTTTTTTAGAATGCGATATCTCAGTAAACGTTTCTTTCGACGCACTGTTCTCTTGAGGTCTGCTGTTGCTGTTCTGGTTCTTTACTGTCTCCATCATGCAATGCGGGATTACGTCGAAAATGCGGTTTATCACGTGAGTATTAGCGAGTTAATTAAGCTTCGCGTTTCCGGGAACGGCAAACGGCAGATTCGAACTTTCTTCGCAAAATTTCCGTTAAACGTTTTCGTTTCATATTTTCTTTCTTGTGTCGAAAGAATAGTCATGTATTGCAGTTTTAAAACAGCAAGTTCATTTACTCTTTATTGCCTGTACCCGGTAAAATTTTTCTTTGCCTGGCGTTTGCCGTTTGCCGGTATAACGCGAAGCTTAAACTCTCTATTAATAAATAAAGTGAATTCGAGTTTTTATTCGTTGACGAGGCCTTCAGATTAGACACCTATAGAAGCATGAGCAACTGCCCGCCTCTAGAAGTTCTAGAGAGAATTATCTTGCATGCGAATCAGAATTGGGGGAGGGAGCATTAAGGCCCGTTTTACCGTTTACACTTGCTGCGATTTCTAGTGCGATTTTCTTCCTGTGACTGATGCATGAAAACGAGTAGACGAGTTAAGATATTCTGAGACTTAGAGTTCAATGATATACCCCCGTCTGGACTTCATAACTCATGCAGTCGTTTACATCCATTAGGAGAAGAAAATCGAACGTAACTTGCAAGTGTTAACGGGCTTGTTAATGTCATTTTTATTTCGTGCGGTTGAACTTCACTCGCGCTAGGAAACTAGAGAAACTTTCCGAGGTTGCTTGTGTTTAAGGTACTGCAGCCACCCGGGAAAATAATCCTGCCTATGCTTATTCATTACAGAATTGCTGTAGTTTCAACAGCAACTGATTTTGATGTTCAATCATGCATCATTATTCATCAACCAACTTTAGTCACAAGTACTGGTTGCTGCAATTTCGTTGCATGCTCATATCACTTTGTTCCAACTAACTCTTTTGTTAATAATTATAACTGGTGTATTCATCAAAGAGGATTCACGATAGAAAATAATATTTTCAATAACGGGAAACGGGTGCAAAGGGGGGGGGGAGGGGGGTATTTAGGTTTCAATAAATCGAGGAACGGATGTATGGATACTTGACGATTTTAAAAATTGAACACAGGTTCGGAAACTAGCGCTATAATTGAGGACCCTTGGAAATTGTATGATAATTTTTAAAACCTTTCCTCCGGGACGAAATACAAGGCAATAAATTACACAGTGCAAAAGATGAGGAGTACATGAAGTCTTCCAGAGACACTGAATAGTTTGACTTGTGTCCATGTCTGTACAATTATGAAACAATTCCTTTTTGAAGCTAAGAAGAGGCAGCCTCTGGCCAGTAACTAGGATTTTAGATTTACCGAGTCGAGCGAGGAAGGTCCAGGAGGAATTCTGCGAGCATGCTCCCAAGAAAATATTTCGGATTTTCTAAGTCTTAGAAACACAATTTCCTCTCCTGCCTTCTGAGAGCAGTTTTAACAAAAGTCAATCTCACAAACGGCGGAGTTTCTACAGCGGAGTTACTTCCTGAAATGCCTGCGTGTATCTCTTTTCTGCCAGTTTCTTAATTTAAACTTATACTTGAAGTATTTCTGTTTTAAATTTTTCACGAAATCTCTTACCTAGTCAACATACTGACTCAGTTGACTCATATCCAGTTACCGGCCTGAGTCTAACATGTTAAATATTCTCACCTAGAACTACTGTGCTGAACCGAAAATCGAAGAACATGTAATGAATGTCACATCTGACACTGTGGCATGTCGGATACCAAAACTTGACCCATTTCACCCTCACGCCATGAAGCTTGTGGAAGACCTTAGTAACCCATTACGTTGTAAAACTGAACAGAAAGCTATTTTAAGTGGTGGAGAGTTAAATATTACTGGTAAGCAACACTAATTACAAGGGAAAAGTTATTATTGACAAGTGCAGTGTGAAAGATTTTCAACTATCTGAAAAAAAATAAGCAGAACTTTGAAGTCGAGTGAAGGCCTTTCGCCGAGAACTTACTTCCCAAAGAGTTCTGTTCTCCTGTCTACCTACACTTGTACCGACCGCTTGGGAAAGTCATTACTCTAGAAACACCGGTTAAAATTGTCCTGGTTATCCTAGGAATAAATCTATTTCGGACAATTTAACATTCTTGTATAAATTTCCTTGTTATTTTAACCTTTTCCCAAGCACCCGCGCGCGTTGGTGTAATTTCTGTTGCCTCTGTATTTACACCGCAAAGCAATCTCGTTCCCTGAGCCTGCGATCCTCGGGAAGGAACGCGAGGCTCTGGGATAATCCGTTGCCGGAAGCCAGGAATCCTGGCTAAGATTGAACTATAATTGAACTACGCATTCCATTTCAACGGCCAATCAGATTCCTCCCTGAAACGGATTATCCCAGAGCCTCACGTTCCTTCCCGAGGATCGCAGGCTCGGGGAACGAGATTGACCAAATAGGTGTAAATTGTGTAAGGTTTAAAAGGATAATATAATCAACCAGGAATATTAAGTTAACAAAGAAATTTTAACCAGGGCGTTTTTAGAGTGTATATAATTACAATATAAAGTAGAGTTTCTAATAGTACAAGCTATTCAAGATTTCAACTTATCTCGAGCTCACAGGAGTATAATCGAGGTGTTTTTATGACATTTAGTCAATCACATTAGTCAATCTGCCTTTTTAGAGCTTCAGCAGCACTAAAATTTTACTAGAATACCCTTTGCATATATGGAAATAAAAATGGGGTATTTTATTAAATTGAATGCCTCAAATATCTTCAATCAGAAGGCTAGGCCAGTAGCACATTACCGTGTAAATTTGACATTGGATCACCCTATACGTACGTCGTCGTATTAGATGCAGCGCGTGATTCGATTATCATATCACCCGGTTGATTCGATCATATGTATACCCCCGGTCGACATGAATTCCGAAGTCCACGCGAGGCGATCACGCATACAAGTTTACCGAAAGTATAAGGAGATGAAAAAAATATGGAAATATCATCACTTCGGGTGACATATGCAGCTGATTAAAATACCTTAATTCATATAATTTAATTGTCAGTAAAGACTAGGAAATTGAATATATAGAAGAGCTAGCTAGGAATTAGGAATTCCACCTATAATATATTGTTTTAAGCAGTATAGAATTGCCCAGCTTATGTAATGACTAATTTTAGTCCATTTAAGTGTATAGTCAGTTTGTTAATTTATAAGATAATAATAACACATTCGATTGCCTATTGAGACGAGAAGCGTGCACTGAAGAACTTGCTCTAATTTTAGGTACAGATGTAGCACACGCCTCCTACCGATATATAAGTCGAACTGACGACGACTTTTCATTTCTGATAAGCGACCCCATAAAAATCCTTACTTGGAAACAGTTTCCAGTGCCTCATGAGTACATTGAGCTGACTTTGATACTCACAAATGGAAATGAATTAAAGGAATATCTTCTGCAAGTGGTTCCAAAAAAGGAAATAATATCAAGACCATCACCTGCATCAGAACTAGATTTAAATGTCCTCATTATTGGTATTGATTCTATCTCCAATGGCCATGCACAACGAAAACTTCCAAAATCCTACAATTACATACGCAATGTTCTTGAAGGATATGTGTTTATGGGACATAGTGTGGTAGGAGATGGTACTACGGAACAATTGGCGGCATTTTTAACTGGCCAGGGAGAACAAGAGTACGCTGAATCAAGACGAGGAAAACGGAATGCTAAGCCTGTAGATAACTGGAATTGGATATTCAAGAAAGCCAAAGGTAACATTATTAACTATTACCAACTTCGTTCCCCGAGTCTTCCTGCTTGGGGAGAACGAAGTTGTACAATTACAAGATTTGTACACCTTAACCGATTTAAAATGTCATCATTTTTCCATGACTCTCCATCACTCCTCCATGACCATTTTTCAAACTGATTCATAACTTCTGAAATATTGGTAAATAAAGAAGGTTCAAATATCCAATGGAAACACCCAGTAAAACCTTTACATGCAGCTATAGAAACTACCATTCACCATTTCACCGTAGTTTATTGTCTTTTCGTTCATGTGACTGCCCAAATGCATGGAAAGAATTAAAAGAAATTTGCATGCAAAATATCACCGAATATCACGTCATCTTTAACGTCCGCGTCCACGGTCTAAATCTGTCTATTGTTCGAAGTCTACGGTATTTACCGCGCAGATACATCAAGGGTGCAGCGAACGCGCCAGCAAATCACAAAAGGTCACCCTCCCTCCGGAATTCTACGCTATGGAATTTAAAGCATAGTTCACATAATAATTATACAGGGTGAGTAAAAAAAAACTGACACCTTTGTTATTCAAATTAGCCGCGAAGGTATCAGTTTTTTTTACTCACCCTGTATGCCTGTGGTATGCCTGCGACGTATAGTTGCCGTATTCCCACAGGAAAGCTGCACGCAGGCAAGTTTTGACTACCGCCAATAGACCGGCGACAATTTGCCGAAACAGTTATGAATTCCCGTCAAAATCCTGAATCATATACCCATATTTTGACGTGACATTCCTCCGCTTTTTTCCAGCCCTGCTCAATATATAGTGGGATATATTGAGCCTATGCATGTCGCAGCGTCGGGAAAGCGTTTACATATCGAAAATTGTCGCCGGCACGACGCCGTACACTCCCGTTTTACCGCCGACATGCCAGGGAATTTGAACTCAACTTTACCGGCATAAAGGCGATCGGTCAATCATGTCGGTGACTGCCTGTGACAGACGAGTGTTCTGCGCGCGCCACAGGTACAGTCTCCGGCCACGTCGCAGGCATATGTAACCAGGCTATATGATCAATATAACCCACTTTACTTTGCTTTCATACAGCACATGGTTACGTGACATCATTTTGTGAAGACTCGCCTGGTATAGGAACTTTTCAATACAGACTACTTGGTTTTAAAGATCCACCAACCGATTATTATCCACGAGCATTTTTCATGGCAGCACATGACGGTGCACATTCCAAGCGGAATCCACATTGTTATGGCAGCGAGAAAATATATAATTATCATTTGGACTTAGCGAGAAAAATCTACGAACAATATCCTCAACGGAAGAAATTTCTCTTTCATTTTCCAGGTAAAATACAATTAATTGCAACATTGTACGTAACTCTAGACAACCTATAGGAAAGATTCAACACTGCATGGGAAACGTTGCAAAACCCAATATTTTTTGTGAAAACATTGTTTCCTGGTTCCTTCGGGAAATGTCGCTAGAAACAATACTTCCGGGGAACATACCTAATTTTAGTGTGCAGTGATAACCAATTTGTGCAGTGATAAAATGTAAAATGTGCAGTGATAAAATTTGCTTTGATAAGTTGTATAAGTAACACAAGAAAATGAGATAATGAGAAGAAAAACTGAACTAATCCGGCGAAACATTTTGAATGAGAATGATTTAATTGAAATTGAAATGATGACCGTCAAATTATCGAACGTCCGCACTAATAACATACAGTACTTATATGGTTCATCAGATGAACAAAGTCTCTCCCCAAAGATCTCTTTATGAGTTTGGAAGATGGAGTGAATGATACTTAAGATTTTGTAATTTCTGTATAATTTTCAGAAATCTATAGAATGTCCCCGCGCATTGCAGGAGAATAGGAAATGCCCTTTTATAGTGCCTAGATTACAAAATCGTCTGTGGGTGCATGCCCCTGGAACTCCTCTAGAGGTTTGTCACGCCTAAGCCCGTAAGCCGCCTTTCATTTGCCAAGACGAAAATATTTATTTTCTTCAGTCATGTTATTATGAAACTAAGCTGTCATAGATAGTCGTAACTGCAGGTGCTGTCAAGGCCGCCAAGAGGGGTGCAATTTGCCCTGGGACCCCAGTTAAAGGGGGGCCCAAATAAAGAATTGCAGTGAAATATACATAGATACAACTGTCAACTAGACTTCCAGAATGCAGGATTTGGCGATTTCTGGCACCTTAGATTTCAAAATTTTTCCGGGGGATGCCCTCGGACCACTTAATCATAGTGTTACAACATGGAATCACGAGAGCCCCCAAGTCAAAATTTGTCATGGGCCCCCAAATTTCCCTGAGTGCTGTGCAGTGTGAATTGTAGCCTGCTTTGTTGTTACACATTATTATAAGGGTGTGTTCAGAAATTTTCAGGGTGTGCTTCTGCTCGGCTAAACTTTGCACAAAAATGTGCAGTGATAAAAAATTCTTAAAATTAGGTATGCCGGGGAGAGGTGGATGAATAAGAAGATGCAGATGGGGATAAAAGAGACAAAAATGTATAATGTAGCCACGTTATGACAGCTACCTTATTCGTACTTAATTTCGCGATTTTTCCGAGGCAATATTTCGCGAGACTTTATTTTCGCGATTGTCCATAGACGAAAATAGAAAAAGGGCATTAAATTTCGCGAAAGCTTTCGGGACAACATTTTATTTTACTTAAAAATTTGAACTACAACTTTCGAAACAAGTCAACATAAGATGTATACACTGTGTGTATACGGTAGTCCGCAATGTTTTTGCCCATCTTTATTGCCGGTAACAAGACAATAATTTTTATTAAGAATTTTGTGATTCAAATTTTTGACAAGGGTATTTGGTTTTGTGTGTGTAAATTTCGCGAGGTTTTTTATTCGCGCGACTGATTTAATTTCGCGATTAAGTACGATTGAGGTATCTGGCTAAATGCAGTTTGGATTTTTATAGGTGAAATATCACATGACAGTTTTAATTCAGTACAACTTATCGACAACGATCTGCTGCAGTTTCTCACAAAATTTAACACGAAAGGATATTTAAATAACACTTTACTGATCCTGTTGGGTGACCATGGTTGGAGATATGGTGACTTCAGGCAGACGGTACAAGGAAAATTGGAGGAAAGACTTCCACTTTTTTCTATGACATTTCCAAAATGGTTCAAACAGAAATACCCAACTTTAGCAAAGAATCTTAGGACTAATACTAAACGGTTGACAAGTTGGTTCGACCTTTACGCCACGTTCAATCACCTGCTGGACTATCCAAATAAGCCGATGAAATTGAAACATGGTACGAGTCTACTGACGGAAGTACCACTGGAGCGTTCGTGTAAGGATGCAAGCATTCCACAACACTGGTGCCCATGTGTGCAGTGGTCAGCGGTAGACCGCCAACACGAGCACTTACAGCAAGCTGCACTCATAGCTATAAATCACATTAATGATTTGAACTTCCAGGAGCCTTTGGGGGCCGAAAGATGCTCACAACTTAGTCTTTTTAAGTTGTACAGAGCAGAGGTGGAGACACCAACTACACAAGTACTTAGATTTCGAAGGTCGGGAAGAGATGGCCGTAAAGCGGAGTTCTCGGGTAGCATACGAGCAAAAGATCATTGTAGCTACCAGTTAACTTTTATTACACTTCCAAATCATGGTGTGTTCGAAGCAAGCGTGCATTACCTGTATGGGCGGTTCCTTGTCAAGGGCAGCATTAGCAGAATTAACAAATATGGTGATCAACCAAAATGTATAGCGAATTTATTACCTCATTTAAGAAAATATTGTTATTGTAAATAAATTATTCCTAAAAAGGCTTTAAGTATAGGTAATAGTTAAAGTGCGACTAACCACTAATATGACTTTTGGTATGTGTAATATTTGGGTCATTCGAAGAAATTTAATATCTCTTTATAATAAAAAATCCCATCTTGATAAACTTTTTCACTGTCAAAGTTTCCGGATATGATGTCATTAGGTGAATCGCAAATTAGTTTTCCCTTGTTTTTTGTACCAAAAATTCACCTAATGACATCATATCTGGAATTTTGACAGTGAAAACGTTGATCAAGATGAGGATTTTTACTATAAAAACATTACATTTCTTCTCAGAACGACCCAAATATTACAGATACCAAAAATTATATTTGGGGTTAATCGCGCTTTAATAGACAGAGTATGGTTTCGAGTTCAATTTGGAATAAACATGCACGAGTTTCAAAGACAATCAAAATTGCACGAGTCCGAAGGACGAGCGCAATTTGAAGTCTTTGAAAAACGTACGATGTATGTTTTTCCAAATTGCACGAGAAACCATTCTATTTCTTATTAATAATATGCATGAAAAGTTTACACGCGTCGATAACATCATGACATAACACCTATGGACTCACCTACGCCATTTAAGCACTGTTTTCATTGCTTGTTAGCAAATCTTTTCAGTTTATGTAGTCCTTGATTGTACTTAAATTGTTATATTCACGTACGATTTTGCATTGAAAATGTTCAATTGTGCAATAAGTCGTCAAAAAAGTGAAAATTTACGTGGCCAGTATTTGCCGCCGTTGCTTTTCCTGCCTCGTTTCCAGGCTCTGCTCTTGTTTTATTAATTGCACTGCAGTTAATTGCACAATGTGCAATTTCAAAAATAATTGCACTGCTCTTAGCCAATCAGAATTGAGTAATTTTTTCATCTATATTATTTTAGTAGAATCACAAGTGTACTATTGCAAGTGCTACAATTTGATTGGCTACTCTACTCCTCGATAGAGGTTATATGAAGTCAGTTATCCTATAAGCATAAATAAACATTAAAGAATGGAGTTACAGTATTTGCAGAATTACTTCAATAAAAATTTGATACCGATACTTATTTTATCAACTACCGTCTTTAATATTCTGAATGGATATAATAGTATGTGAATTTAATACTACAAGCGATCAACCCAATCACATTGAAATGCAAAATGAATCAAAACAGCCTCGTCAAATTTTGTTAATTTGAAATTTGTATATTAATAATATTCTGTATATTAAATACAATACACTATGCCTAGGCAAATAGCACGGGTAAATAGCTCTTTTTATCGTCACATTTCATCAATTTCTGCCGTACCTGCAGCAAATACTCAACTAACACAGGCATAGATAGTACAGACAACCCTTTGTCCTCTATCTTGTTGTTCTTCGCACGAGTGTACGATTTCCGCGCAGAATTATACCCGATAATTCCTGCACGAATGCAGTGCCCATTGTAATTTTCTTCATATTAATTTTCCACTTCATGCATGTATATTAGAAATGGAAACATTACATTGTTATATTGTAAATCTGTGCAAGAAACGATTGCCGCTACTATTGCGTTACGATCAATATTCTTTGCAGAATTGCTGCGTCCGTTGCATTCTCATACAAGTTTGATATTAAATTTGAAGGTAAAGTTCTAATGGAAAACGCCTAGTCACCCTTCTTGCTAGTTCTCTTAGATTTTGTATCGGTGTCCGTTGAATTTGACCAGCCTTCATTACTCCAACTCGAGGCTTCTCCCCACTCGGCATCGTCCCAACCATCATCATCCAGTGACTCTGTTTTACTGTCTTTTGCTTTCGTCTCATGTTCTGGTTCATCTAATATCTGTTCATGATCCCAATGCCATTCATCAACCTCAGGTTGCGGGTCAGTGTTTACTGTTGACGTTTTATCTAGACTACCATAAGATGAACCAGTCTGTTCTTGCAAAGCTTCAGTCGTCGTCGGTGCGAAATATGACTGCACATTAAACCATCCCTGAGCTCCAGCAGATTTTACCTGAGAATGAATATCAGAGGTTCGTTTATATTGTAAGACCTCATTAAATTGTCGTCATTTAATTGGCTGATGATGATCATGTGATATTGAAAAAATCACCATTTTCATGATCGTGCAATGGACCGTCCCATTGCACGGTTAAGCCGTGGATTTTTGTGCTATATACGTTTTATTCCATTACATGGTTTGATTTTAATTAAAATCTGTCCATATCCTGATCTCTCATTTAACCCTAAATTTCACGAGACCAATGGGATTAAATTCAAACTATAATTCGTGCAAAGCAAAATGGCGCCTGTAAAAATATAATGTATACGATGAACAGATCCAGTGTATTCCACGAGCCCACCCCCCATGGGAGCTTGATGCGGGTGCTTATGTAAAACAATTGGCTTCCAGCGTATACAACAGAGTTTTACAAAGCAGATAATTATGCAGTATCTTCCTAATTCTATTCATACTAATAAATGTCAACTTTGTATTATAACGAATATATCTCTATGAGCAAACCTTGCTTGCAAAACCAGACATTGATGTTGAGAAATCGTCAACCAATGTTCCGTCCTGCACCTGTATGAACGTACAAAAATGCTGGAATAATGTAGCACAGACATAACCTACTGATTCTTAACCGAATTTTAAAATAATATCTAAATTCATTCATAATGTAATACAGAACTATTTAGAATAGCTATACTAGTACACTGATTTTTGCGAATACAGTAGGAGTTTTCGGCGGGCTGTCTATGATGAATTAAGGATATATGTACTCATGTATCTCTGTTTATGAGTTAGGGTCAACGGTTACGACTTACGATTAGCTTTTATAAACAGCGAGACATTAATCTATGACCTGAATTAATAAAGCCCCTTCTCCACTAGGCGAATTTTTTCGCGCGACGCGAAGCGAAAAACAAATCTTGGCAATGTGATTGGTCAGCGAAAAATTCGCCGCGAAAAAGTTGGATCAGTTCCTACTTTTTTACTGTTCGCGCGAACAGATTCGCCTAGTGGAGAACGGGCTTAACTGGGCGAATTCCTCGCTCAAATAATCACAATACGGTGCCGAGGTGACAACTGTATGTCACCATTTTACTTTAATTTGCTTGCTTTATAGTCAACCTTTCTCTAAAAAGGAAAACACTTTATCCTGTATAACCAAACCTTATTTGAAACTATCTTCAGATTTTCATTCATAGAACTTCCCAGTTCAGTTGCCTAGGAAATAAAGATTAATGTTATAATGATAAGGGGCGGATCATTGGAAAAGTAACGGGCGCAAACAGCCAGAAGAAAAAATCCGTGCAAGCCGAAACCTCCCCCTTCCCACCCCCGCCCCATCACTTTTCTAATGGTTTACATACTGTATAACTGCGATATGCAGCTGCGTTATTATTGTACACAACCGTTGAAGCATACAATCTTTTGTAAATTTTCTGGTTCAACTGCTACAAACAAAAGCCCACCGACACACCGCAGGTATATGTGAACCAGGTGTAAATCGCATCTTCATCATGAATACGCAGGGTTTATAAAATAAATTTCAACATTCACCTTATTTGCAGTTGGCTTTAGAACGGATTCGTTGACGACACCACCAATTTTTACAGCCTTTAAACAAACAATATAAAATTATACCGGGTGGCGCAAAAAAAAGTACAACTGTTTGATTACTTGTAACTCAGAAACAATAAGCAGTAGAACAATAAATCGAGTTTAATTGCATCCAGCGATATCTAACTTAAATTTTGGTATATTTGACAGGCATATTCATCCAAGATTAACTGAGATATAAGATTTAAACTTTTGTTAACAATTTTGAAACGGTCACAAATTAGCTAAAAATCAGTTTAATAGGTCGTTTTTAGCTAATTTGTGACCATTTCAAATTTGCTAACAAAAGTTTAAACACTCATATCTCAGTCAATCTTGGACGAAAATGCCTGTCGAATATACCAAAATTTAAGTTAGACATCGCTGGATGCAATGAAACTCGATTTTGGGTTCTACTGCTTATGGTCTTTGAGCTATATGTAATCAAACAGTTATACTTTTTTTTGCGCCACCCGGTATAAGCTATATGCAAAAGGGTGCCTGTAAATTTCCGTTCGCAAAATTCAATCTACAAGTATCCCATCTATACTAATAAGTGTCTATTCAAAAAACTGATATTTACTCATAATTCTCAAATTCATTAATAATTCATGAGTAATTCAGCCAATGATAATCACCTATTTGATCACAAGATGCCATTTGGATAACCCGGTGAAACTTGATGAAAGTCACTAGTGTTTTCATCAAATATCCTAATTACGCATGCAAAATTACTTGAATAGAATTCCTAATTACTTTATGCTTGGTTAAGAATTCTATTCAAATCAGCAAACGAAAACATTCTGTTACGTCTCGATTCATTTGAGAAGCCATATAAACAACTCGAGCTCGTGTCTCACCGGGATATCCAAACACTCGAAAACAATGTATGAAAACACTCGCGCTTCGCGCTCGTGTTCTCATACATTGTTTTCTCGTGTTTGGATATCCCGGTGAAACACTCGCTCTCGTTGTTCATATATTACATCTAACACTGGTATCACCTTACTGTATATACAAGAACTGGACTCAGAATTCTTTCGAAAACGAAAAATCGTGCAGCAATCTTAAGCTCCGGCAAAAAGTCCTAAACTCAATCCATTGGAGATCTTGTGCAGGATGGTTCACAAGATCAGAAGGCAGTAAGCAAAGGAAACCCTAAAGCAAGGAGATTTGCTGAACTAGAAATTGTCGTTCGGATGGGAAAAATTCCCAGAAAAATGTTAAGATCTTGGTTTACACCGTGCCCAAACGAACAAAGAAGGTCCCACTAGCACATGATTTGCAACTATATGTATTGACAGATACGTAGTTGCAAATATTATCCGATACATTCTGGTTTATTAAAACAGCTTAAATAATCCAAGCATAATTCGGCAACCCAATTTGGTAACCCAATT